AGCCTGTGACACAGAGCTTCACCTGGGATTAATGGTATCTACTTGACATGGCTGCTATAAGAATTAAAAAGAAATGACTCATGGCCATGGAAAATGGCTCAAAAAGACTGGAGCACATGCTTTGTACACAGGAACCCCAGATTCAATCCTTGGTACCCTATGGTCCTCAAAGCATCATTCAAGAACTGGCCTCTGAGCATTGCATGGGGTGGAGGGAGGGAAAGACCCCCCACACATAAAAGTTTCCTTTAACATGTTTTACATGTAAGCCTTTCTGATATTTACTAAGTCCATAATTAAACATTTCAGACTTCTAAAGTATTAACTGTAAGTTAGACAATAAGAGGTCTGCTTAAAATTGCTAAATGTGGGGCTAAAGAGAGAGCTCTTTAGCTCTCTCTCTGTATGCAGGAGGCCCAAGTTTTTCCGGTACCACATGTTCCACTGAGCACCTAGACTTGCCCCTGAGCAGAGAGCTGGGAGAGACCATCAAATACTTCCAGATGCGGCACCCAAATTTACTAAATGTTGGAACATAAAATACTTTTCAAGTTCAGGTAATATTTAATTTTCTATTCCATACCTCTGCACATGTAAAACAATGCCAGACTAAGTTGAGTTTTAAAAAATTTTTTTTTTTTTTTGCGGGGGAGGTCACATCCCATGATGCTCAGGGCTTACTCTTGGCTCTGGACTCAGTCAGTAATTACTCTTGGTGGTGCTTGAGGGACCATATGAGATGTCAGAGATCAGACTCCAGTCAGCTATGGGCAAGGCAAATGCCTTACCTGCTGTACTATCACTCCAGCCTTGTCAAATAGGTTGACTTTATAAAGGGATGACATTAATAGATCATAATTCACCCCAACACTCACATACGTTCTTTCTCTTTAGTTTCAAGATGGATCACTAGTGCATGACACATTTTAAGGGGTGTTTTCTGTAGCTAACAAACCTCTGACATTAAAAGATTCTTGTTTTTTTTCCCCTCAGCACCCCTACTTCCAAGTATAGCTCATGCCCAGTAAAGGTACAACAAATTTCATTTTGACAATATTGGGAGGTTTAATAATGAAGATTTAGCATTGAATAAATATTACAGATTAGTGCTGAAGAAAAGCATAATCATGACCACAGAAATATCAGCTCCTCCATCTCATTCCTCACAGCAAAATAAAAGGGATGTGGGTCGTGGTTCAGTGATAGAGCACTTGCCTGGCATGTTGAGGTGCTTTAATCCCTAGTACTGGGGATGATGTGTGTGGGGGGGGGGGGGAGTGAAGGGTGGGGGGAGGGGGGTGGGGAAGAGAGAGAAAGAGAGAGAACTTTAGGGAGACAAAGAAGTTTAAAAAAAGCAGTAAATAATAAAAGCAGTAAAATTTAATGGCATTCAATGACACAAATGTAATGGCAATATCATTTATTTTAAGTGATACATGAGTATACAAAGTGCTATCATAATGAAATTTTAGTTTTTAAGATATGCGTTGATAATATGATTTTAATCTAAAAATTAAAAATAAAAATCCTGAAGAGAAAGTATTTATTCCATTTTGATTTCCTAGAATGTCATTCTTTAACTGCTTATATATATATATATTTCTTTTCCAATGTACACTGTGATATTTGTCTAAAGGTGTGGAAGGCCATCCTTATACATCATCAAAACATTATGGAATAATGATTATTAGGCTTACATACCCTTTAAGAGCAAAACCTGGCAATCACACGAAAACTTACATATTTTGAAATATTAACTGTGTCGGAGATTTAGTACAGATATTAAGGCATTTGCCTTGCAACCTTAATCTGGTTCAGTCCTGGGCTCCCCCATTCCCTACACCCCCTAATAATTTGGGTTATTTCATACCCAAATCAACTGTATAAAATACAGATCTTCATAATGTAATCTCAAGAGAATATCTTGTCTGTAATCTCAATCAGTTATGTAGATCTGATTTATCCATGTCTGTCCATGTCAGAGCAACATAGATCCAATAACGCTGGAGAATATTCAAAGCCTAGTATCAGTTTTTCCCCTTCAGAGAAAAGTAAGTGAAGTTCTGAGGTTACACAGAATTACTTGATAGGATTTTAAATTAGAGAAAATGGAGATCTAAAAGTCAGTGTGCTTATTGGCTATTGCCATAAAGAATGCAAAAGAAAATCACAGACACCTTCCAGAATTTCCTGAATATGGTGTGGATCACATACTGGAGGAGGCACTGAACTTTGAACAATACAAGTACTTAAATAGGTTTTTGAGCACAAATTCATAAATGTGGCAATGTAACTAAAGAGGTTATTTTCCTTATTTAGCTACATTGATGATCGTGTCAGTTAAGAGTACTTCTACTAAGTAGGAGGTCAAAATTTATGGCAAGCCAAGTCCAAGATAGCATATTTTTTATGTCCAACTAACATTACAAGAAAATGTATAAGATATAATACCTCATAACATAGGTACACTGTGTCTACTGCCATCTTACTGTTACATGCAATACAAATAGGAGAAAATAGACCAAAACAAACCACTTCGCCTAAGCTATTAGGTTCATTAATAAAATAATGGTAGCACTTTATTAACATTTGTGGGGGGGAGAACTTATAATGCAAGCATTGTTTCAGTGAGATATCTGCTACATCATTCATGAGGTGGCCTCTAAATGCAGTGAAATAATAAGCTCAGCTATAAGGGAAAAGCACCAACTAATGAGTGCTCATCAGCTCGGCACATTTATGTTTTCAGCCTTAGCATATTTTCAAACCATCTGGCATCAGTGCCTTTCTGGTTCGCCCAGCCTAATCTGTTCAGAATTGAATATAAAACTAGAGCTACACGGTGCACTTTGGGAAAAAGCAAAGAACGGCACACATGTATAATAATATTCCAAATGTGCAGCTCCAAACTAGTTTATACTTGAAATGAGTTTTTAAAAACATTTCCACTGAAGGGGTTCACGTTCCTTCAAAAGTACCGGAATGGCTCAAGAAAGCCTTTCGAATCATGGTTGTCATCAGTTACCCAATGCTCACTTTTATTTATTTTTTCCTCGTTTTAGTCCCAATCATTAAATAAATCCCTTGAACAGTTAGTTCTACAAAAAATAAATAACTGATAAATGAAATACTATCATTTCCATGTCGCAGGACCCGAAATGATACATTTTAATTCGAATATTCTTTTTCTCCTATTCTCTAAAGTGGTTAGCGTAAGGAGGGGGGAAAAAAAAAACCTTAGTGGAAAAATATTCATGAAAGCTCTTTGAAAAAAAGAAAAAAATCCCGTTGCCTCATTATTGTCTTGGCAGCATTCACATTTTCTTTTGCTTCAATCAAGAGACAGAATTGCTACTTAAGAAATCAAAGAGGGGGGTGGGAAATTTATCTCTGGGCATAGGAGGGTCAATATCCCTTGGTTACTGAACCAGTTTCCCCTTCATCCTCACTTTGCCAGGCGGCATTTATCAAGAAATGAAAGTGAGGTGTTCGGGATAAATTTTCAGACACACACACACACACACACACACACACACACACACACACACACAATTTTACGCAGCTCCCATACAGAGCAAGTTGGCGCGTTCTGACAATGCCTGGGAAGCACTGACCCACGCCAAGGTCCCCGAAGCGCACCCCTAGGAAGCCCCCTTGACAGATGACACCCGGACCCAAAGGACACCCGCACTTCCGGGGAGCGGGAACTACGCGGCTGGGGAGGGGGCGCTCCCCAACAGAGACCCCCCCCCCCACCTCCCGGCTCTCGGTCTCGCAGAGGGCGCGTTCGTTCCTGCAAGTTGCGCGGCGGCGCCCCAGCCTCGACGCCTCTCACGCTCAGTTCATTCTCGCCGCCTTTCCCTACATCGCTTCCCGGGGGATGGGGTGGGGACCCTCCCCAGCACCCCTCCCAGGTGAGGCTCTCTGCACTCCCCCCATCCGCGCCGGCCCGCAGGGGCAGAAACCGCGCGGCGCCCCCCACCCACCCCACGGGCCCGGGCCGCCCCCGCCGTCTCCCTGGCGGACCGCGCTGTGCCGCGCTCGCCTACGGGGCGCAAACGGAGACCCGCTCCCGTTCCCTTCCCGGCGCGTCCCGGTGACCCCACAGATGCGGAGGAGAAGTGGGAGACGGCGGGGAACAAAGAGTGCCAAGTCCTGTCCCCCCCCCACCCCTCCCCCGAGAACTTGGATGGAAATGTGCAAGGCGGGGGGCGCAACCCAGAAGCCGCCCCTCTCCCGCCTCGTACCCCCACCCTCGAATCCCGGCCCCGATGCCTGGCACGGGAGGTCCGGGTCTCCTTGGGGCGCCTGCCCCGGTTCCTGGCGAAGTGAACGGGCATTTCCAGGCTCTTGCATGAACTAACTTCGCCCCAAGTCTCCCCTCACCCCGGGCCTCCATCCCGACACAATCTACTTCTCGGGGACGCAGCTCCGAGTCTGGCCGCCGAGACCCCGAAGGCGTCCTTCCCTGCAAGTGGGGTGCCCGCTGCCTCCCCCCACCCTTAGGCTCCCTCGGGGCTCCAGCAGGAGGATGTCCCCGCCCCCCTCCCCGACAGCCCTCCCCCCCCCCGCCGCCTCCCTTTGCGCCCCCCCACCCGAGCGGGACCCTCACCGCAGCGCCGGGGCTCCGCAGCTCCATCCCCGCCTCGGCCCGCTCCCCCGGGGCACCCGCTCCAGCAGCCCCCGAGTCGCTCGGGTGCTTGGCAGGCTCGGGGGATGTTCCCCGCGGCTCGTCCCGGGGGCGCGGAGCGGCTCGGAGGTGCGAGCGGCGCCTCCCCCGCGCCGGCGGGCAGGCCGCGTCCCTCCGCCTCCGACGCCCCGCGCTGGGTCCGCCCCACTCCCCGCAGCGCCCGCGAGCGCGCTCCGCCCCGGGGTCCGTGGCCCGGGGCCGCCGCCGCCGCCGCCGCGGCGGGGCCGCGTGAGCGCGCGCGGGCCGCCCGTCGTGGCCGCTCGGCCGCGGGTTGTGCCCCGCTCGTCGAGGAGCCGCCTCGCGCAGCTACCTGCAGGGGCCGCCGCGCCTCTCAACGCCCCGCCGCCGCCGCCATCTTGCATTGCAAACCGGCTGCACTTTTCAGGGAGTCAACTCTGACCTGTGAACCCTAAACCCGGAACCGCTCGGCGCACCCGCACCCCGGCCTTGGGCGGCGGGGTCGGCCCCCCGCGGAGCGTGGACGGCCGAGGGGGTGGGGGTGCGAGGTCAGCGCGCGCCCCAGCAGCCGCCCGAGGGACGGGGGGCGGGGAGGGGAAGAGCCGGCCGAGGCGGAGCCCTCCCTTCCCGCGCGCGCGCGCCCTCCGAGCGCCCCCACCCCGCTCCGCGCCCGGCTCTCCACGCCGCGGCCCTGCCGCTCCCGGGGGTTCAGCCGGGGCCGCTACTACCAGGACGCGCGCGAGAAGGGAAGGCGGGGAGCGGTCCCGCCCCTCTGTCAACAGAGGCCACACCCCCGAGAAGACCACGCCCTCTGTCAGCAGGAGCCCCGCCCCGCTCCGGGAGGCCCCGCCCACTCTCGGCAGAAGCCCCGCCTTCCCCAGTTCCCTAATTGGCCAGGGTCCTTGCCAATAGCTCCGCCCGCTCGCAACAGGTCTCCCTTCAGATCAATCAGAAGGCAGCCCCTCCCACTGTCAGCTGTGGCTCCGCCCTCCTCCGGCCAAGCCGGAAGGTGAGACACGCCCTCTGGAACCCCGTCTCCTAGCGACAGTACGCTTGTGGCCCCTCCCGCTTCGGAGCGGCCCCGCCCACTGTCAGTGGACTCCGGGCCCTCCCGAGACCGCCCGGCGCTCCTCGGCGCTGGAGACAGGCGTTCTGTCAATCGACGCCCCGCCTCTCCGTGCCTCCGACTCCCTGCACCGCCGCCAGCCTCGCTCCCCGCCACCCCGCCGCCCCAACCACTGGTACCAAAAGTTCAGTGGGACCTCAGTGCGAACCGTTGCTCAACATTGAGGCCCCCCTGAGACCGACCCTGCTCTGCTCACCGCCGTCACTCTTGCGGAACGCTGTCCTCTTTTAAAGCCGTGGTCCTCCTCCAGCCGGGTAGAGAAGACCCGCTAAGGACCCAGGCTTGGGGTGGGGGGCACCCAAAAACGGATGACGTCTCTAATGCCACTAACTACTGCCGCTACCCTCTAAGCCCAACGTCATTTTCGGGGGTCAGGGCCTCCGAGGTGGGAAGGCTGCATCCCCGATCCGGCATGCACCCAGTGATGCTCGGGGGACACGGTGGCGCTGAGGATCGAACACCGGTCTCCACAAGCGCTCAACCCCTGAGCTCGGTCTCTGGTCCTGCCACCTATCTCCCCAAACCAATCTTTCTATTGTTGTTGTTAGGGGGATGGGGGGAAGACCAAAGGAAAGAGAAGAGACTCACCCTCCAAGCCACGCTACGCAGATATGCAGATCTGGACGTGTGAAAAGTCTTTGGGGCCTCTGTGTTCGTTCCCCACCCCCTCCCATCATGCACCGAATGTGCTTTCAGGACTCCGCTGAGCCAAGGCCATCCGAAAATATGCAGTTGCTTAAAGTGAAAGCCAGGTTGTTAAATCGATATGGCCCCCACCGCCCAGCTTCCTTTTATTTGCATGTTTCGCTTTAGAATCTTAAAATACGTGGATGCAGAAGCAAGCGAAGCTTAATGATCTTACCAAGGAACTAAGTCCTGTCATGCACAACAAAAACTTAGCTGCGCTTTATCTCCTAGAGTTAAACGAACAGAAAATGCAAATTATCTACATAAGCAATTTAAGAGAACATTGTACTGTTTCTAAAATTTAAAAGGGAAAGAAAATTTTATTCAAAAAAATTTACTAGTATCAGTAAAAACAGTCTCCTCTCTCTCTCCCCCACCCCCCAAGTATATAAACACTAGGGTAATAATTTAAAAATTCACCAAAACTCCCTCCGCAAAATTTCGATATGCCCCCCAGGGGGCGGTGCTGTGCCCATTGAAAGCCGCGGTTTAGCAGTTGAGTCTGAAAGGAAACGCTTCAGATACAGAAATTCATTTCTTTTGTTCATGCGTTTAATCATTCTGTTTTTTTGAACAGCAAAATATGTCAGGCACTGGGGGAGATGCCAAACTGAGTCAGGCCATATTTCTGTCTTCAAGGAGATTACAATCCAGCTGCAACCAAGCTAAAAGCATGAGCACAATGACTGGCCAGATGAGAGGTGAGCAATGAAGGAGATATAGGGACCCACCCTCTATAATGTTACGCTAATGAGGATCAATTTCACTTCCTCTCACCCTCTTGCGTCCTCTATTCCCTCTCTCTCTCTTTTTTCCTTTCTTCCTTTTCTCCTGCCCATCCTCCTCTTCTTATATCAATTTATAGGCTTGCCTCCTTCTCTGTAAGCTACCCGCCTGCTTCTCTGCCCAGTGCTAGCACCCGTGAATCCTTCTAGTTCACAGCAATGCCCAGAGGGTAGCTCTGTCCAGGAAAATAATTTCAACAGCCCAGTTCTGAGAACTGTGTCCTTAGCCTAATTGCTGCCAATTATTTGGTATCTGTACAAAGCAAGGCTGTTAGCACCACCACTCAAAAAAGCTGCCTGCAAACCTAAGCAATATGAATATATGTTTAGCATAGCAGATTGTGTCAGCCCACATAAATCTGTTAAGGGATCAGGCTCACATAGTAACTTGTTTTTATTAAAATAAAACTCATTTGTAAAAATTGTAAATATGACTGATTTCAACAGCTGTGTGGCTCCAGAAGAAAGTTCTCCCTCCCCCCACCCAGCCTCCCATGGATTGGCACAATTTGAAGAGACTAGACTTTTTTTTTATGCATATGTTTTACAGTTTGTCATACACAGTCTGGATGACAAAACTTGAGTGCTATTGGAAATGAGAAGTTGTCCGGTGGGTTTGAAAAATTGCAACACTTTTGTCTTTCAGTCTTTCCTACCCTGGGAACAGTGGGAAAAGAGATTTGTAGGAAAGGCAGCACTGTGAATCCTAAGATGGAAGCCCTGTGTCATCTGAAGGCTTTCAACAGCACTTTCTGTAGTAGTTTCTTTCAGCTATTATTTTTCTCTTTCTTACTCCCGGTGGGGGAAAAGTCTTCTCAAAAGCATAATATCATGTAACACAGCAGCTGAAAAGACATCAAAGACAGTTAAACTTTTAACTCTGGTGAGGTGAACTAGAGAATTTTGCCCTGGCGAAATACTCCCACAAATCTCTCTGATGGTTCCTTCAGAAGGTGAACCAAAACATTCCTGCTAAAGCCTGTTCAGACTGAGCAAACTTCCAGTCAACGGAGGGTCAAGGCACTTCCTATTGCTTTTAGTGCTTGCAGTATGAGAATAATAATAACAGCAACAGTAATATCAAGTTTGTTTGTTTGTATTGTTTGTTTTACTTTTTGGGTTACACCCAGTGATGGACAGGAATTACTCCTGGCTCATGCACTCAGGAATTACTCCTGGCAGTGCTCCGGGGACCATATGGGATGCTGGGAATCGAACCCAGGTCAGCAGCGTGCAAGGCAAACGCCCTACCCGCTGTAGTATTTAGTGCTCCAGCCCCTAGTTAATATTCTTGACAAATGCCTTCCTCAACCCTCTCTTCCCCTCTAAATAACATATATGTGTGACTACAGATGCAGAACAAGAAAAATAGGTTTCCCAGTATTTATTTGAAGATAAGCATATTTACATGCCTTTTGTTGAATCATAGTTTCAGCCCAGAGATGTGACTTAGCAGCAGAGTGCCTGTGTCACATATGTAAGTCCTTGGGTTTGTACAGTGCCCGTGTCACATATATAAGTCCCTGGCTTATATGTACACAAACACACACACACACACATACACATACACATACACACACAAAATCAACCCCCACCCCCAAAAAGTCTTAATACACAATAACTTGAGGGAACAACCAACCAGAAAGCAAGGCAAAAATACAAATAGAATGCTTCACTCTTTTCAGATCATAGCCAGAGTCAAGAGCAAGCTTTAATCTGCATGAAACTGATGGGAGAACTGCTTAAAATAATGAATTCTCAAGGGCCAAAAAGTACAGGGGTTAAGACACTTGCTTTGCATCCTTCTGACCCTGATTCCATCCCTGGCACCACCTCTAATCTCCAAAGCATTACCAGTGGTCACCCCCAAGCATCAGCAGGGGTCACTCCTAAGCAGAGAGCCAGGAATACCTCCTGAGTACCACAGGACATGCTCCATGTCTCCTTTACCCCCACCAAATAAATCACTTAAGATGTAGAGTCTCAGATCTTGCGCCCAGAAGACTCTAATTCATTAAGTGTTTGGAGAGGCTGACAAGCCTGATAGAAGTGACTTGCAGACTTCACTTTGATAATAGCTGATGTAGAAAAATATATAGATACCTCTGGCTAGGGATTTGACTCAGTGATAGAAAACACACTGTTGTAAGACCCAAGGTCTTTCTGTTTGAGGGTTGTTTTTTTGTTTTTGTTTGTTTTACTGGCAGGGAGGTGGGGGAACACCTGGTTGTGCTTACTCCTGGCTCTCTGCTCAGGGTTCACTATGGGATGCCAGGGATTGAACCTGAATTAGTCACACCAGCAGTAAAGCATATGCCCCAAACACTGTACTATCTCTCCAATCCTAAGGTCCCAGGTTTGATCCCTAGCAGGTCAAAAATAAAGCTGATATCTCTGAGAAGAGCCATATCCCCCTAAAACTTAGTTACAAGTACATCAACACAGTGAAGAAAAGTCTAGGTCAATCACCAAGAAATTTCAGACTCAATTGTACTTGTTAATCTTCCAGGAAAACTCCAGCTCACTATACTCTGGGCCCTTTAGAGAGTCGATTTTATTTTACTGCCTTGGTGTCTCTGTAAGGCAGCTGGCATTGTCTGCAGTGAGCATAAGAGGCACTCAAGGTAGGGGGAGATTAATCTGCCTAGCCAGGTGCCTAGTAACCTGCCTGGTAAATTGGTTTCCAGCTCACCATGACTAACCCTAAAACTGAACAAAGGTGCTACCTCTGCTGGTTTAGGAGGAAAGCCTCACATTAGCAATAGATCTCCTTGTGTTGAAGTCAGATTGTCTTTTATTTCCCAGATCCCCTGCCATTCACTATCTGGATTCTATTACACACTTTGTTGCAAAACCTAGTGGCTTCCGTTCTTAAGCAATTGTTATTATTTGCAGCAAGGAGGGGGGTGGTGTTGGGTGCCCCACTAGTGACTTTTGGCCAACTGGGCCAGCAGTTCAATACAAGGGCCCAAGATACTATGCTGCTATGACGACTAGGGTCTGCTCATCTAGGGCAGTTTCAGTTACATCTCCTCTGGTTGGTTGGCTATTAATCACAGCATAACCAGGTCACAGTATGCTTCTCATTCTCTAGACTAGTTTGGACTCTTTCACATGCATAGGCTT